ACACATGACAGAGAAAAAGACCGTAGTCGTGACTATTATCATGATGGGAAACGAAGTAAAAGTGACCGTGAAATGGATAATGATCGCGACGTGTCGCGTCTAGATGATCAAAGTGGTCGGTATAAGGATAAGAGGGAAGGTAGGAGGTCTCCAGATTATCAGGATTATCAGGTCGGGGGCACTAGAAGTAGCAGAGCAGAGCCTGATGGTGATATGATAAGATCAGAGCGTCAACCTTCCAGTTCGGTAGTTCAAGAAGAGAATGGGTATGATTTGTCCCCTAAGAATTTTAGTGTTGTGATTCGTGATATGTGGTATCCTTGGAATTTCATTTATTTAATTTTGGACTTAACTATTTTAATGGAGATGTGGGTTGCTAACTCAATGTCAGATTTTACAGTTTGTGGTAAGCTTTTGAAGCAGCTTGAAAGTTGAGACTGATTATATTTTTGTTATGGTGAAACAGGAATGTATCGGATCAGATAACCAAAGGGGTCTCTTCCAGGGAGACAGCTGAGCTATCTGGAGGATCAGAGAGAGGTACAAGACATAAAGTTTCTGAGAAAACAGTGAAGATGGAAGACGGTATTTTGGGCGAGTTTCAGGCTGAAAGGTCTTCCGGCGCAAAAGCTTCACCCCGACCCATGGTTGAAAGATCTCCCTCTTCGACGAGTCTTGACCGGAGATACAATAATCGAAGTGGTGCCAGGCGGAGTCTTGAGATTGAAGAAACAGGTCATAGGAACAACGCTAGGGACTTTTCAGCACCTGAGGATGATAAGCTTCTGGTTGATGAGACATCTCAAGCAGAAGTATCCTTTAACAATAAAGCCAACCAGAATAATTCTTCTTTCCCTCCAAGACCTGAATCTAGGAGTGGCATTAGTAGCCCTAGAGTGGGGCCTCGAGATGAAGATAACCGGGCCAATACAGGTGGACGTTATAAAAGAGGCGTTGATTCGATGATGGGAAGAGGGCAAGGTAATGTGTGGAGAGGCGTCCCTAGCTGGCCATCTACACTTCCGAATGGATTTATTCCATTTCAACATGTTCCACCTCATGGAGGTTTCCAGACTATGATGCCACAATTCCCATCTCCATCTCTCTTTGGGGTGAGGCCTTCACTGGAAATGAGTCATCAGGGAATCTCTTACCATGTACCTGATGCTGAGAGGTTCTCTGGTCACATGCGTCCACTTGGGTGGCAGAATATGATGGATGGCTCAGGGGCTTCGCACATGCATAGTTTTTTTGGGGATATGAGTAATGGTGTTTTCAGGGATGAATCAAACATTTATGGGGGATCTGAATGGGACCATAACAGGCGGATGCATAACCGGGGTTGGGAATCTGGTGCAGATGAGTGGAAAACTCGAAATGGAGATCCGAGCATGGAAGTCTCATCAATGTCTGTCAAAGATGATAACTCGGTGCAGGTTGCTGATGATGAGTCTCTTGGTGGCCAAACAAGTCACTCTGACAATAACAGGGCAAAAAGTGCTGAAGCTGGGTCGAATCTAACATCTCCAGCAAAAGAACTGAATGCGAGTTCTCCTAAAATTATGGCGGAAGTAGCAGCTGAAAATCCTGTTACAGAAAAAATTGATAACAGTGAACGTTATTGCAGGCATTATCTCTCAAACGTTGATATATCGGTAGAACTTGCTGATTCCGAGCTGCATAAATGTATTAGCTTATTGATGGATGAAGAACGTCAAAAAATTGATGATGGAACTGCTGTGTTTGTAAATCTCAAGGTAAAACTTTCTCTATCCTCTAACACCGACATCAGTTATTCTACTTGTATGTATCTTTGAGACCCTTTTCTCATAGCTCAAAATTCTTTTAATGACAGGAAGGTGGAAAGAGAGTGCCCAAAAGCAACAGTACTTCCTTGACGACTCTTTCACTGTTTCCTTCTCAGAACAGTTCAGTATTTCAGGTAAGCACTAACACAAGGAAAAATAAGTTTCTGTTGTTAGCTTCCGGCAATTCGAGATCTATGTTAATGCAGTGACGTCATTTCCCCACTTTCAGATAGCAATGGACCTCTACAAGGAGCAAAGATTTGAAATGAAGGGTCTTCCAAATGTCGAAAATCAGGGGGCTCCTCAAGTCTCTCTTTCCCATCTGGTTAAAGTCGAAAGCAATGATGATGTGAGTGATGCAGTGAAAGGAAACAGTTCCATCGAGACAGCTGATGTGAAAATTGTGGATGTGTCAGATTCAGACACATCCCAAAAGGAACAGCAAAAAGCGCCCTCACTTGTTGATACCGGAATGGACATGGAAACACAAGACAGAGGAGGTTCATCGCCCAATTTAGACAACTCACCCAAGGCCCTAGAAGGTGTTGCTTCAGATCTCATTGAAGGTGATGAGCATGATGCAAAGCCAGATGATGGAGCTGGTGTAGACAAAACAATGGTGATAGCTCCTGAACAAGATGGTGTTACAGAAGGTGATCCTGTTACCTTGACAACAGCTTCTCCGCCTCTCGGGGTTATGGAGGTGGACGAGCGGAACGATTTGTGT